ACTATGACCAGGTAGGCTTCATCCCAGAGACGCAGGGATGGTTTAACATACGTAAGTCAATAAATGTAATCCAACACATCAACAGAACCAAGGTCAAGAATCACATGATTATCGCCACAGATGCAGAAAAGGCCTTTGATAAAATTCAACATTCATTCATGCTAAAAGCTCTGGAGAAAATAGGAATAGAAGGAACATTTCTAAAAACAATAAAAGCCATTTATGACAGACCAATAGCCAATATTATACTTAATGGGGAAAAGCTACAACCAATTCTCCTAAAATCAGGAACAAGGCAAGGATGCCCACTGTCTCCACTCCTCTTCAATATAGTCCTGGAACCCTTAGCCAGGACAATAAGGCAAGAAAAAGACATTAAAGGGATCCGCATAGGGAAAGAAGAAGTTAAACTATCCCTTTTTGCAGACGACATGATACTATACCTTCACGATCCCAAAAACTCCATCCCCAAACTCTTAGAAATCATAAATCACTTTGGCAAAATAGCAGGATACAAAATAAACCCACAAAAATCAATTGCCTTCCTGTACACTGACAATGGACAAGAAGGGAGGGAAATAAAGGGAGCAACCCCATTCACAATAACCTCCCAAAAAATAAAATATTTAGGAATTAACCTAACCAAAGATGTAAAAGAACTATTTAATGAAAACTATAAAAAGTTAGTGCAGAAGACACTAGGAAATGGAAAGACCTCCCATGCTCTTGGATAGGCCGACTTAATATAGTAAAGATGGTAATACTTCCAAAACAAATATACAAATTCAATGCAATTCCTATTAAAATCCCAATGACGTACATCACTGAAATACAGAAAACAGTCCAAAAATTCATATGGAACAACAAAAGACCTAGAATAGCCAAAACAATTCTAGGGGATAAAGACAATATGGGAGGGCTATCCATGCCGAACTTCAAACTCTACTACAGAGCTATAATAACAAAGACAGCATGGTACTGGCACAAAAACAGACCCAAAGACCAATGGAACAGAATAGAAGACCCAGAAATAAATCCACAGGCCTACAGCCAGCTGATATTCGACAAAGGAGCCAAAGACATACAATGGAAGAAACACAGCCTCTTCAACCACTGGTGCTTGGAAAACTGGGCGGCCACATGCAGAAAACTAAAAGTGGACCCCAGCCTATCACCATGCACCAACATCAACTCAAAATGAATTAAAGACCTTAACATTAAACCTGAATCTCTGAAACTACTGCAGGACAGAGTAGGAGAGACACTTGAACTAATAGGCACAGGAAGGAACTTCCTGAACAGAGTCCCAGGGTCACAACAAGTTGGAGAGAGACTCGACAAATGGGACTACCTTAAAATAAAAAGCTGCACAGCTAAATCTATCACCACCAAGCTAGAAAAACAACCAACTAATTGGGAAAAAATAGTTCCCAGCAATATATCAGACAAGGGGTTAACATCCTGTATATACAGGGAACTCAAGAAACTAATCCCTCCCAAACCTAACAAACCAATTACTAAATGGGCAAGGGAACTAAAGAGGGACTTCTCAAATGAAGAAATAAAAATGGCAAAGAAACACATGAGGAAATGTTCATCATCCCTGGTGGTGAAGGAAATGCAAATAAAGACAACCCTGAGATACCACCTTACCCCAGTCAGAATGTCCCACATCCACAAATCAGCCAACGACAAATGCTGGAGGGGATGTGGAGAAAGAGGAACCCTATTACACTGCTGGTGGGAATGTACACTTATACAACCACTTTGGAAAGCAGTCTGGAGGGTCCTTAGAAAGCTAAAGATTGACCTCCCTTACGACCCAGTCATACCACTTCTAGGCATCTACCCTGAACAACAGGAACCAATATACAAGGACACGTGCACCTCCATGTTTATTGCAGCACTGTTCGCAATAGCTAGGATATGGAAACAACCTAGGTGCCCCACCACAGATGAATGGATCCAAAAAATGTGGTATCTATACACAATGGAATATTATGCAGCCATTAGAAATGACAAAATAATGGCATTTGCAGGGAAATGGATGGAGCTAGAAGGAATCATGTTGAGCGAGGTAAGCCAAGAGCAAAGAGACAAACGGTACATGGTCTCCCTGATAAGTGGATGCTAAATCCAAAATGTTAGGTGATACGACAAAACTAACAGGACTTAAGAAACAAAGAACTCCTACTCATCTGGTCGAACCACTACTAAAATATCCCCATGCTGCTGAGCACATGTATGGTGTATAACATGTGAACACCGTTATATGTTATAGACTGTGATAGACAATTTGCTCCAGGAAAGTTAGAATGAACTTGTGACTTTAAATGAGCATCATTATTCCACAATACTGTGAAATTCGGGAAATTATGTAATCACTTAATCACAATAAAAAAAAAAAAGAACCTCGGGGAAGGTAGGGAGGGAGGGGATGGTAGGGGGAAAACAATGGAGGGGGTAACAATGTTCAATAGGAAGTGTACTCACTACCTCACTCATGTAACTGTAACCCTCTGTATAGTATCTTTACAATAAAAAAACAATTAAAAAAAAAAAAGACTTGCTGGATAGGGGCTGGGAAGGTGGCTCAGTGGTAGAGCACTTGTCTTGCATGCATGAGGCCCTGGGTTCGATTCCTCAGCACCACATAAGCAAAAAGAAAAAAGTGGGAAGTAGTGCTGTGGCTCAAGTGGTAGAGCGCTAGCCTTGAGCTGAAGAGCTGAGGGACAGCGCCCAGGCCCAGAGTTCAGGCCCCACGACCAGACCTCCGCCCCCCCCCCCCAAAAAAAGACTTGCTGGATATAGATACATATATTTGTGTGTGTATATACATATATATGTATGTATATTAATAACCATATGCTTCCTATAGGAAACACTTTATCTGCAAAGATATTCACAGTAAGGATGAAAAATAGGATTCTGTACAGGACACCTACAATAAGCAAGAGCATCTGAAAATAAGATTTATTTAAAAGAGCAAGACAAGGGGCTGGGAAGGTGGCTCAGTGGTAGAGCACTTGCCTTGCATGCCTGAGGTCCTGGCTTCGATTCCTCAGCACCACATAAGCAAAAAGAAAAAAGCCGGAAGTGGTGCTGTGGCTCAAATGATAGAGCGCTAGCCTTGAGCTGAAGAGCTGAGGGACAGTGCCCAGGCCCCACAACTGGACCTCCCCCCCAAAGAAAAAGAGCAAGACAAACCTGTGGTTCACATCTGTAATGTTAGCTACTTAGGAGGTGGAGATCTGAGGACTGCAGTTCAAAGCCAGCCCAGGCAGGAAACTCCATGAAAACCTTAACTCCAACACATTCCCGCTCCCCCCACCAAAAAGAGAAAAAAAAGCCCAAAGAGCTGTAGCTCAAGTGGTTGAGTACTACAGCAAAAACAAGCCCAGGCTGAGTTCAAGCCCCACGGCTGACACAAAAGAATCAAAAAGATGTAATTATTGTAAATGTACCTAAATGGAATAGAATTCCATTTTGTTTAAAAAACCTGGGTTCTAAAGGGAGATAGGCTGGGACCCAGTTGTAGGACTACAGTCTTACAGGACTGTAGGATCGAGCCTGACCTCAGAGCTTCTACTTGAATGTTACTGTCCCATTTCTTTTTGTTTGGGGTGTGGTATTTTTGTCAGTTGTGGGGCTTGAACTTGGCCTATGAGGTCTTCAGCTCAAGGCAAGCACTCTACCACTTGAGCCACAGCACCACTAAGGGTTTTCTGGTATTTATTGGAGATAAGAATCTCATGGAGGGCTGGGAAGGTGGCTCAGTGGTAGAGCGCTTGCCTTGCATTCATGAAGCCCTGGGTTCGATTCAGCAGCACCACATAAGCAAAAAGAAAAAAGCCGGAAGTGGCGCTGTGGCTCAAGTGGTAGAGCACTAGCCTTGAGCTGAAGAGCTGAGGGACAGTGCCCAGGCCCAGAGTTCAGGCCCCATGACCGGACCCCAAAAAAAAAAAAAAAAAAAGAATCTCATGGACTGGGCTGGGAAGGTGGCTCAGCTTGCCTTGCATACTTGAGGCCCTGGGTTCAATTCCTCATCACCACATATGCAGAAAAGGCTGAAAGTGGTGCTGTGGCTCAAATGGTAGAGTGCTAGCCTTAAGCCGAAGAGCACAGTGACAGTGCTTAGGCCCAGAGTTCAGGCCCCACAACTGACAAAAAAAAAATCTCACAAGCCCGGCGCTGGTGGCTCACGCCTGTAATCCTAGCTACTCAGGAGGCTGAGATCTGAGGATCGCGGTTCAAAGCCAGCCCAGGCAGGAGAGACCGTGAGACTCCTATCTCCAATAAACCACCAGAAAACCGGAAGTGGTGCTGTAGCTCAAGTGGTAGAGCGCTTGCCTTGAGCTGAAGAGCTGAGGGACAGCGCCCAGGCCCAGAGTTCAAGCCCCACGACCGACAAAAAAAAAAAAAAAAAAAATCTCAGACTTTCCTGCCCAGGCTGGCTTTGAACCATGATCCTCCGATCTCAGCCTCCTGAGTAGCTAGGATGACAGGCGTGAACCACCAGCATGTGCCATTTCTTGTGCAAAGTAGCTTATACAGAATTCTCTTGAGTCTTCAGCTGGAACAGAAGATATTTATGTTTGAAATTACTTTTTCCAGATCTGTGTTGGTCTTTCCAGATTTTGGACTACAAACACGGACTCATGCTTTGAACAACACATGGTCTGTGGCCTGTCCTATGGAAAGGCGGGTCACATACCGCGTGGACACACATGCTAAAATCCCACCTAACACAGACAGAAACACGATCATGGTTCCTTGAAACTCAAGCCAACACCCAGAACACACCCACCAAGAAGACAAATCAATCCTACCATGCTTAACACTCCTTTAATGTGTTGTTCTAACCGTGGGGAGCAAGGCACCGTGGACAGTAACACCACATCTCTGCTGCCACACGTGCGTGACAGGTTTTTGGGAAAGGATATGCCAGGAAGAGCTGTGCACTGGTGAAGGAGGAGATGTGGAGCAGCTCACACCTGGGACTAGAGCTCAGGAACCCCCCTCAGCTGGTACTCCTCACTGAGCCAGGGCTGGTGTGTGATGGTCAATGGGGGGACGCGGTTCTCCACCACCACTTCCAGAAGCTTCTGCGAGTCCTCATCCAGCAGAACTTTGTCCAGACTGCGGAAACAGACACAGCTTTCTCGGCATATGTTCACTAGCTCCTCCATGCCCTATGCCCGCCGCACCTCTGACCTCCCTGGGTGCCAGGCCCGGTGCCCAGCGAGCGATCACGAATCCTTGTGCGTTCCAGTCACAGTCCGGAAAAAGAAAGGTTGAAGTTTGGTTTAAAAAAAAATAAAAAAACGGGCCTGGGAAGGTGGCTCAGTGGTAGAGCACTTGCCTTGCATGCATGAGGCCCTGGGTTCGATTCCTCAGCACCACATAAGAAAAAAGCCAAAGTGGCCCTGTGGCTCAAGTGGTAGAGCACTAGCCTTGAGCTGAAGAGCTGAGGGACAGCGCCCAGGCCCAGAGTTCAGGCCCCACGACCGGACCCAAAAAAAAAAATTATAAGCCAGGCACCAATGGCTCACACCTATAATCCTAGCTACTCAGGAGGCTGAGATCTGAGAATCACGGTTCAAAGCCAGCCCTAGTAGGAAAGTCCCTGAGACTCTTATCTCCAACAAACCACCAGAAAAACTGGAAGTGGCGCTGTGGCTCAAGTGGTAGAGCACTCGCCTTGAGCTGAAGAGCTGAGGGACAGCCCCCAAGCCCAGAGTTCAAGGCCCATGACCACCACCACCACTATATATATATATATATATATATTTTTTTTTTTTTTTTCCATTCACAGCTTGGATAATAATCAGCCTGGTCTGTCTCCACCCTGGAGCATTCTGGGAGGCTATTTAAAGCAGCCATTCCACAGAATCACCACTGGAAACACACAAGCACTTCTCATCTGTTCCTTGTGCCCTGACCCCCTTCTGCCCACAGCTGGTCTTCGCACGCTGCACGCAGCTGTCCTGGTAAAGGGCTGTCCCCGCAGGTACTCGGATGATCGGTGCAGCACCGTCCTCAGCAGGGCACTACAGGTCCTAGAACGCCATCACAGAACCATGCAGAGGCCAAACCAAGCGAGGCTGTGGAGCCCACGCCTGGCCTCATCCTACCCCCATGCACCACATTACCCACACACAGCACTCACCCCAGCAGCTCCAGGGTGCAGTCCTGGTGGCTGAGTGCCACGCACAGCGCCTCCACACCCGCGTGGTCAAAGGCCACCCAGTCCAGGCTCAGCCTCCTGAGCGATGGGCAGCTGATGAGGGCCGCGGCAAGGTCTCCACAGCAGTCGGAGGTGAGCGGACACATGTCCAGCCTGGATGGGACACAGCAGGGGGAATGCTGTCCTACGCCATCTCCACGCCCTGGAGCAGCAGACAGGCCAGACCCCCAGACCTGAGTGACAGGACTACGGCTTGAAGGTCAGAACAGGCCCTCCCACAAAGGGCCAGCCGGGCCCACATGGCCCCATCTTACAGCATAGAATGCAGGATTCTGTGCCAGGCAGACACGTTTCCCAACCTCCCAGCCCTTGGCTCCTCACATCCCGAGGCCACAGCCAGCAGCAACTCACCCGAGCGTCTGCAGTCCACACTTGGGGTGCTGCAGGGCCTCGCACAGGAGTTTTACGCCGGAATCCTGGATTTTGTTGCCCCCGAGTTTCAGGGTCTTTAGGTTACCATTGCAGGTCATTGCCTCGGAAAAGACCTCGCAGCACCCGGAAGTGAAGTAACAGCCTGGCAGCCTGGAGGATGAAGCACAGACCCAGGCGTGGAGGTCCCTGAGCAGCTCTGCTCACTTTCACTGACTCATGAAGAAATTGTGAAGCCCCACTAATGACCACCCCACCCTCCCGCTCTGTCCCCAAGCTCACACCTCCATTACTCTCATGAAAGAAAGGAAAGGGGGAAAGCCAGGTGCTGACGGCTCACATCTCTCATCCTAGGAGGCTGAGATGTGAGGATCATAGTTCAAAGCCAGCCCAAGCAGGAAAATGTGAGACTCTTATCTCCAATTAACCACTAGAAAACCGGAAGTGGTGCTGTGGCTCAAGTGGTTGAGCGCTCGCCTTGAGCTGAAGACCTGAGGGACAGCGCCCAGGCCCAGAGTTCAGGTCCCACAACCAACAAAAAGCAGAAGGAAAGGAGAAGGGGAGAAGATAAAAACAGATGCATAGACAGTAGACATTGATAGATGTCTCTGTGGGTTTGCTGACACTGTGTGGTCCCCAATTTCTGGTTCTTAGCACCTGTGACCTCATGTACTGAAGGGATGTCGTGTCTGGGGTACTCACCCCATTCCTGGGGGCTCAGCCCCCTGATCCATCACCTCACCAGGCCACATCTCTTAATGAGGTCCCCTCGGGGGAAATCTGACCACCCCTACCAGAGCTCCTGTAGGCTGCAGTCTGGTTGTCGCAAGGCTTTACACAGATTCACCGCCCCAACATCCTCCAGGAAATTTGACCCCATGTCAAGCAGAGACAGAGATCGGTTCACCCGAAGGGCTTGGGCAATGTAGTCACAAGCGACCTGGGTAAGACAGCAGTACGACAACCTGCAGACACACACAAACACACGCTTATTACCTGCTCTGCCTCTCTGGGGCAAGGCAATCCTAGTACTCCCTGTAGTAGATGTTCCTCTCCTGATAGTCTGAGTTTTCATGGGGTTTTTTGTTTTTTTTGGGGGGGGTCTGGTGGTGGGGCCTGAACTCTGGGCCTGGGCACTGTCCCTCAGCTCTTCAGCTCATGGCTAGCGCTCTACCACTTGAGCCATAGCGCCACCTCCAGCTTTTTTCTTTTTGCTTATGTGGTGCTGAGGAATCGAACCCAGGGCCTCATGCATGCAAGGCAAGCGCTCTACCACCGAGCCATCTTCCCAGCCCTAGTCTGAGTTTTCAGATCAGATGAAAGCCTCTTCATCTGGATTAATGAAATTGTATCTGCCTTTTGAAAAATCTGTTAATCATTTGATGATAGCATAACACGTTCTCTGATTGCATACTACTCAACAAGACTGGCAGCTTTACTTCTCTTTCAATTTTAAGCATTTTTTTTTGTACTGAGACTTGAACTCAGTCCCTCATGCTTGCTAAGACAGGCACGCTCAGCACTGAGCCCCAAGTGGAGGCTCACTTTCCGAGGCTGGGGATAGGTGCCCTCACACGGCCAACTTCCATTGTAGCTCTCCATTGAAAGGGAAGCTTGGAAGCTTTTCTTCCTGTCCTTGGACTGTGATCCTCCCAAATAGCTGGAGGAAAGGCACAAGCCACCAGTGCCCAGACAAGCTTTTATGGATTCAAATGGTAGTTAAGACATTTGAAAGAGCTCTTTTAAAATCAGAGTGACTCTGGTGGGTACCTGTGGCTCATGTCTGTAATCCTAGCTACTTGGGAGACTGAGATATGAGGATTGCCAGCCTGGGCAGGAAAGTCTGTGAGACTCCTATCTCCAATAAACCACCAGAAAATCAGAAGTGGCACTGTGGCTCAAGTGGTAGAACGCTCACCTTGAGCTCCATGATAGCTCCCAGGCCTAGAGTTCAAGACCAACAACTGACAAAAACAAACAAAAACTGAAATAGCGCTGTGGCTCAAGTAGAGCACTAGCACAAGGCGGTTCAGGGACAGTGCTCAGGCTCTGAGTTCAAGCCCCAAGACCGACAAAAAAAATAACATCATAGCTCAATCAGATATCAGCCATTGATTGCACCTTAATTCAATGGGCTGTATGTACAAAAAAAAAAATTAAGAAGCAATTGTTCAATAGCCAATGACTCCTGTCTTCCCGTGTCATTTCTCCTTGACGTCTGCCACAGCATCTGACCTTTTAGACCTCGATGCTCCTTTTCCTCAACCAGTTTAGTGTCCATATTTACTATCCTTGAAGTTTGTATCACTTCAGGCTCAACATTCCTAATTGAAAAATGAAGCTGGGCACCAGTGGCTCACGCCTATCATCCTAGCTCTCTGAGGATCCTAGCTGAGATCTGCAGATCTCGGTTCAAAGCCATCCCGGGCAGGCAAGTCTGAGATTTATCTCCAATCAACCACCAGAAAAACTGGAAGTGGCACTGTGGCTCAAGTAGTAGAGTGCTCACCTTGAGCTGAAGAGCTGAGGAACAGCGCCCAGGCCAGAGCTCAAGACCCAAGACCAACAAAAAGAAAATAAAAAAAAGAAGGAAATATGACAGCATCCACCCAGTGAGCAGCTGGCAGGTTCTCCAGTGGCTGGAGCTCTATGCAGGCATTGAGACCCCCACCGTGTACGCACATGAGGGTGTTCAGGATGCAGTTTGGGTCCTTCAGGCCTCCACAGAGAAGCTGCACCCCTCTGTTCCCAATAGGATTGTCCACCAAGGACAGACACCGCAGCCTCTGATACTTTATGACGAAGCTGAAGCTCTCGCAATGCCTCGTCAAGATGTTACACTTCCCCAGCCTGCACGGGAGACACACATCACAGGTTGGGACCACCTGTGGTGGTAGATGGTCTGCACAAGATTGCACACTGACTGAATCGTGGTCTGGGTTCCTGTCTTAACACTATCGACCCATGGCATGCGTTCTAGGTTGTTTGAAAGCACAGACAGAGATATACGACTCCCTGCATAGACAGTTGCAGTGATTATCAGGGGTGAGTATGAGCAGGGAGTTTATCACACCCCGTGGATGGAGAGCTGAGTCCTCGGCATGTCAGAGACAGGCCCCCAAGATTGGCTTGTGCTTCTGACCAACTGGCTATAAATCAAGGTCAGGTTGAATGAAGTTCTAGAGATCACAGACCTGAAATTGACTCACTTAGTGTATTATGATTCGACAGAGATAATGTGGCTGGTGAGATGGAAACACAAGTTGGCCAGGTCTAGAAGGGGCTAGTGTCCAGTGGCTCTAGCCTGCAGCAGTGAACGAGGCACATCCACACCTCTGCTGATGTGGGAACTCAGCTCACAGGTGTTGTGGCTTTTAAGGAAACAGCATCACATTCCCAGGGGTGACTTATCACATCCTCCCCCAAGGAGCTCCAGCCACTAAGCCTGGCTTGGGCCATCTGGGCACCAGCTCCCCAGCCAGAAGCCCACCAAGGCCCAGCTCATCAGCATAGAAATCACAACAAGCCAGGAACAGTGGTGCACACCTGTAATCCACCTTCACATCTATCCTGAGTGTCCACATAAGTCATTAACAGAAAGTGCAAGTCCGTTGAAGTTGCAATGGTAAGGGGGTGACACACTTCCTGTGTTTCGTGAGTTGGTTTTGTTCATTGCTACCTGACTGACTTCCCTGGTGTTATTTCTGGTAAAATAAATAAATTGGTGTGCCTAGAAGCCCCTCGTTCACGAGCGGAGGCAGAAACTGCTTTGTCAGAGCAGTCACTTTAGCTCAGGGCAGGCAGTATGCTCATGATTGGTGTGGTGTACTCTGGTGCTCAGGAAGTGGAGTTCTAGTTCAGGAATGCTTAGAGGGAGAGAAGAGATCAGAGTGTCAGGATGCTTCTGGAGCAGAGGTCTGCATGAGTGGCAGGGATGAGGAAGGTGGGGTGTGCTCTGACCCCACCCCCACCTTCCTGTGCACCCTCCCCCCCCCACCAAGAGAACAAGACAACGGCAGCCATGAAAAGCATGAGGGCTGAAGGCCAGAGCCATGGCTTCCGGCAGAGAACATGGGCAGCATGGAGCTGCCTGGACCAGGGCGTCTCTGCACATGCATGCCTTACACTAAGTGACTTACATCAAGTCCTCCACGGTGTTGTCTGGCTTCATCAGTGTGTCACATAAGATTGTGACATTCTCCTCGAAGCCGGTTCCATACAGATTCACCTGCCTCAGGTAAGGGCTACGAAGCACTGCCTCAAAAAATTCTCGCTCATAATCTCCAGAAGGCATAAAGGTGCTCCTGCGGACGAGGAGAGAGCGCATCATGCCGTCTGAATGACGCTGGTAGAACACTCACTCCTCCACTGTCCAGTTTCTTCATGGCAAAGAAATACTGTGATGGCCAACATCTATATCTAGGATATTGTCAACTACAAGGAATATACCTAGTGCGTGCACACACACATATTTATAAACTAGAGATGTAGGTATTCATAAACTAAATGTACAGGCTTTTGTCATGAGAAATATAAATGTGCATGTATAACGTCAGAATTCATCTGTGTCAACTTCTGCTCTCGCTAGCCTCACATGACAGCAGCCCTGCATTTACACTGTGGTCTTTCCCCTAAGGAAGCAGAAAGAAGATGGAAACCTGTGTCTATCTAAAGGACAGGTAAGAATCAGACTCACCACAAGCTCTGGAGGCTGCCCGTACAGTTAGCCAGTGCTGAAAAGAGAATTCTAAGGTACCCAATGGTGATCCTGAACCTGTGCAGCTCCAGCCTCTGCAGGTCTGGGATACAGCCGAGTACCCTGCAGAATCTCCTGAATTCACACAGATTCCTGCAGGAGAAGAAACCAGTTCTCCACAGGCTCACTTCAAGACATTCTCCAAATTTGCCAGACCTTATTTCTGACTAAGCTAGTAGGCCTAAACAGGTATAACTCCAGCCAGGTAGACTGAGTGACCATGAAACAGGGGCTAAGAAAATGAACTCCCAGGGAGGCCCCAATAATCCCAGATACTCAGAAGACTGTGATCTTCAGATCCAGCCTGGGCAGAAAAAAATCCATGAGCCTCTTCAATTCATCAGCAAAAAGCCAGAAGTGGAGGTGTGGCTCAAGCGGTAGAGCTCCAGCCATGAGCTAAAAGAGCCCAGGAAGAGTGCGAGGCTCTGAATTCAAGCCTCAGCACTGTACAATGAGAACACAGCACTCAGGCATGAGCAACTGAAGTGAGGAAAGAGGTCTCAGTAGAACGTCATGAGCTGTGTGACCTCCAGACAAGATGGCTGGCATCTTGTGTTCTTGTCTTCCATTTCCTCCTCTTTTCTATGTGAACACGGCTTGAGGTTTGGTGAACAATAAGCTATGTGCACCAACATTGCCCTGTCTGGGGACCACATACTGGACAGCTCCAACATGTACTGGGGCCTAAGCCCCACAAGGGTTGCCAGGCAGGGGGCTGAGGGGAGGGCTTGTGGGGCAGAGCAGAGGATGCTGGGTGTCCCCTAGTGGTGCCAGCCACAGGCACCATGGTGTGAAGACAGCCAGCTTGCAAACAGTAAAAGCCACCAGCCCAGCCCAGCCCAGTCCTCCCTTCCCCTCCCCTCCTCTCCCCTCCCTGGGGCCTCTGCAGTGCACCTGCAAAAGCTAGGGGGCAAGGGGAGTGAGGCTCCCGGCTGTACTCACCCGTCCTCCCCTCGGTGGCCTCGGAACGTCCTGTTGCTCCCGTGTTCCTCCAGGTCCCAGATGTGCTTGGAGTCCTGGAAGATGGTGTGGATGCACAGGCGCAGCGTCCTCAGCCTCCGGCAGTGTTCCAGGCAGGAGGTGGCCACGATGAAGTGATCCATCTCGCAAATTGTGAGCGACATTTCTTCGAATAGATCTAGCACGCTGCCCATAAAGGCCTCATCCCTGGTTTCCATCAAGCCTTGGAACAACTCTGGGAGGCTCATGGCCTCGCCCCGCTCTCGGAGGCACGTTAGAGCTTGCATGATCTCCAGCTTCTTGTTCTTTGACAGCAGGAAACCGAGTGAGGTCTCCAGCTCCTTCCTCGTTGTCTCATCTGTAAGTCCGTACACAAACACTCCTTCCACAAACAAATGGCTCTGGTTGTCACGCAAGACCGCCGACACCAGCTGAGCCACACCACCAAAATCAGCGTCTGTAGATTCGTCAAAGAAATAAAACATGGCGGCCAAAAACGACTGCATGGCCAGGTCCCTGAAGATGAAGCACTGGCCGCTGGGCTGAAGGATGTCCAGGCCCAGCCACAGCAGGATGTCTACTGAGGAGACCCCAAACCCGGCCAGGTCCCCACAGCTGAACACAAACATGCGTGTCCACATTCCGTGTGCAGCCAGCGTGCAGAGGCTTTGGAGCTGGGCCCTGTTCTGATCTGGTGAGCATTTCAGATATCTTCTTTTGAACACACTTGTGAGGAAGGATACGTAGAAAGAAGTGATGTTGTGGGCGGACATTCTAAAGTAGTCCCCTGACTCGAGCTGCCATTTCAAACAGCTGCAGGTCATCCAGCAGAAGATGGGCCGGTTGCAGACAGACAACAGATCCAACCTGGACTGCACGAACTCCAGGGCCGCAGACGCATGTTCTGGAACATGGAAGAACTGGGAGAAATACAACTCTAGCAGAATATTCGAGAAATGGAAGATCATGATGTCCTTTGGCTGCTTCAACAAGTGATGGATGGGGATCATCTCCCTGGCATTCCGTAGCCCAAGCAGCAGGGATGATTCAGGGAGCAGCTCTTTCTGCAGCAAGCTGCTCAGGATAACGGGGGTCGGCCGTCTCTGATCCCACTTGGTACACAAGTCAGTCCGAATTTCCAGGTCAAAGTTAAGCTTCTCAAACCCATCCAGGATAAACAGGGTTCTCTCTGGCTGGGAGAACATCTCGCCGATGACCGCAGAGGCCCCGGGCCAGTCCCTGGAGACCAGCTCCGCCAGACTGGTCTCCACCACTGAGTTGATCTCGTAGACCGCAAAGAAGAACACAAACATGAATCTGCCCTCCCAGAGGGTTCCCTCCGCCCAGTCCAGCATCAGCCTTCTCAGAAGTGTTGTTTTCCCGATGCCCTCCGGGCCAAACAGGACTGCGGTGACGCCGCTGGCTACCTGGTGAGCAAATGCATTGCACAGCCATGTGTATTGGGGCCTCATGGTATTTTTATAGAACTCATCAGGGACTTGAAGGCAGGTTTCCCTTTCCCACACCTGCTGGAATTTTTCCCTCATGTGCTTTCTGTAGGCGAAGGATGTATCTGTATTAACGAGAACAACAGAAAACAGAATGTGAGGCAGCCCGGTGCCTGTGGCTCACACTTATCATCCCAGCTACTCAGGAGGCTGAGAGCTGAGGATCACAGTTCAAAGCCATCCCAGGCAGGAAAGCCCATGAGACTCTTATCTCCAATAAACCACTAGAAAACTAGAAGTGGCGCTGTGGCTTGAAGTGGTGAGTGTTAGCTTTGAGCAAAAAGAGCTCAGGGACAGCGCCTAGGTCTGGGTTCAAGCCCCATGACTAACAAAAAAAAATTTTAACTCAAAAAAATTACACATGGGGCCGGGATGGTGGCTCAGTGGTAGAGCGCTTGCCTTGCATGCATGAGGCCCTGGATTCGATTCCCCAGCACCACATAAGCAAAAAGAAAAAAAAAGCCAGAAGTGGCACTGTGGCTCAAGTGGTAGAGCACTAGCTTTGAGCTGAAGAGCTGAGGGACAACTCCCAGGCCCAGAGTTCAGGCCCCACGACCGGACCCCAAAAAAAAAAAATTATACATGAAGCAAACATAAATAGAAAGAAACTCACTGGGCGCTGGTGGCTCACATCTGTAATCCCAGCTACTCAGGATGCTGAGATCTGAGGGTCAGGATTTGAAGCCAGCCAGGGAAGAAAAGTCCCCGTGAGACTCTTATCTCCAATCAACTACTGAAAATCCAGAAGTGGGGCTGTAGTTCAAAGTGGTGGAATGCTAGCCTTGAGTAGAGGCACTCAGGGATAGTGCCCATGCCCCATGACTGACAAAGAACAGGGAAAAAAGACACTAGTGTAGAGTTTATTTCATGAACTTCCAGAACACCCCTGTCAAAGAAGAGACTCAGTCTAGAGGAGAAACACAGGGCAACCCCTAGCTGGGCAGGGGGTCAGATCCCCTTCCCATCACTGCCCAAGGCTGATCCTGGAATGACCAGCACTGGGGTACGACTCTGAAACCCCCATGGTTCAGCCCACACCTGCAGCCAGGTGGACGGACCAACAGCCAACAATGACATTACCTTCATGACAGGGAGAGCCCAGTGAACCAAGCCCCACCCCATGCCCTCTGACCCTCCGCCCTGAACTTACTTCCCATCTCTTCCTGCACCTGCATCCAGAGATCCTTCCTATCGATCTGCAGGAGGAGGCTCAAGGTCATGTCCCACACCTGCCTGCCAGGGTAGTGCCCCACCAGAAACCTGGCCAGCTCTTCCTCTGAGGCACTGTTGATCTCCGGCCAGGGGATGGGTGGGAGCTGGGATTTCAGAGGTTCACACTGGAGGAGTTCCTTAAACCTCCCAAACTCTTCATATGTGAGCCTGCCCAGGTACTGCACCAAGCGCAATTCGGAAAAATATGATTCAGCCATCTTGATTCAAGCCTTCAGAACAAAGGACTAAGAGACACCTGTGGGAGGACGGCAGAGTGAAGTTCCCACAGCTGGACACGGATGAAGACCACCCCCCATCCCCATCCTCCACCCAGCTGCCTCCTGCCTAACCCAAGGCTGGAGCTCTGTGTGCACCACAGCATCTCCATTAATGCTTCAAATATTCCTAAGGAAACGCGGTTAGGTGCATGGATTTGGGGAGTCCCTTGTATGGTCCATGGCATCAACTGCACCTGCTGCCATCTCTGGGGGTAACCAATGGAACCCCTAAATGCTTGCAAAGATCCCCCCCATTTGTGAGCCTCACAGCTTTCATCAGTAGGACTAATGGCAGGCAGGAGCATGTGAACTGGCACACATACATGCGCACATACACACACGCGCGCGCGCACACACGCGCACACACACACACACACACACACACACATTTCCTCTCTCCAGGACTCATCACCGTACCATGACTATTTGAGTAACCAGTGAGTTCCTGGTATCTGAGTCCCCCCATCCATGTCAGCCCCTGCCACGCTCCACGTGCACAAGCGCTATATGACATCCACTTGCACCCCCGTATATTTGCCCATTTCCCAACACCAACCCCCCATCATAAACAAAACCCTGTGTGCCAAAACCTCTCAGAATCCTCCAGTGGGGTTCATGGGGTCGTGGGGCACAGTGGACAAGATCTGGGGTGAACTCCATGCCAGCCGGACGCGCGGGTGAATGTCTGGCCTGGCGCGGCGGTGGACCGGCGTTCCACTGCAATTAGGACAGAACCCAGTACACACCACCACGTGGACAAACCTTGAGATTCTCCAATGCAAACCAAGCCAGGTGTGTGCGAGGCAGCAACTGAGCAGTTCCTTTGGGTTGGAGTACTTAGGGCAGACTACAGACACAGGAAGGCTGGGAAGAGGCTGGGGAGGGGGCTGGAAGGGGGATGGGACAGTTTCATGGACACCAATTCAGTGTGGATACTAAATACAACGCCACGGCAGCTGCGTCCCAGATGGTTTGCAGTGGTAAATTGAGGCCATGTGTCCTTTACCACAATCCTGTGAGGCCTCACGTGTGCCCGATCTCATCTTTAACTTCCCCCTCTTTGCCGAAGCCCAAGCTGCCATGAAGGAGCCATTGTCACCACCTGCTCCCCTCTGCGGGCTGGGGGGAGAGGAAGGGTCCTCACTTTTCACGATCTGCCGGCCACCCACCCCCCAGGGCCTCCCTGCCACCCGTCTGCGCTTGTGCGAGGTGCCCATTGGTGTCTCCGCAGCCCACCACTGGGGTCTCTCCCACATCCCCGTACGCGAGCACACTGCCTCCAAGCCCACCAGCCAAATCCCCGTGGCCACGGCTCTCCCAGCCATGTCCTCTTCCACTTCATCCTCCGCAGGCCCGGGCTTGGCTTTCTCCAGACACCTGCACCCCAGCAGGCCTGCCTTGGAACCCTCCAGATCCCCAAGCCTTCCCATCCTCCCACTTCAGGTCCGTTCTGGAAAAGAAAGGGCCCCAAACCCAAATCCTTCTCCAAGAGGCCCCTCTCCCCACCCTAGCCCCCAGTCCAGAGTCAGGGAGCACAGGTGTGAAGAGAAGAGGCACAGGCCTCTCACCTCCCACAGGCTTCTCACCACCCTGCCAAGGCAGAGGGCTCTGCTAAGCTGGCCCAGAACAGCTTTCCTCCTCAACCCCACCTGCCACACCTTTCTAGAACACTGATCCCATGAAGAAAAGACACACAGAACGAGGAGAAAGAAATGCTAAGTGGGCCAGGGAGACACCATCCTCACCTGCTCTGGACCTGGTCCTCGCACTGTCCCAGCCCGAGCGCCCCTATGGAGACAAAGGATAAAGGTTGACCTGCCCTGGGATTGGCCCTGGTTGCGTGCTTCCCACTGGCCACCAATCAGTAGACTCAGGTGAGGTGAGGCTATGCCCCCATTGGACAACCGTCAGCAAACTCTGCTCCCATTGGATGCTGCTCCTCAGGTCTGATTCAGCTCCTCCAGCATTGCTGGGTGCTGACTGCCAAGTACTCCCATGACCCACTAATAGGACGCCCTGCAAAATACAGCACCCCAGCCAACCTCCTCCTGCTACCAGTGAGGCTGGTGAGGAAACCTGGAGCTTGTGCGCTCCTCACCTGAACTCCAACCCCATCCTGTCCCAAAGGAAGCAACTTTGAACATCTTGATTCTGTGTTACGTGTGTCCAAGACCAGCACTCAAACCTGGTGCCTGATGCTTTCATTCATTGGCTGGCACTCTACCAACTGAGCCATGCCTACAACTCCTATTTCTCTCTCAATTTTCATAGACACACTCAAAAGGATAATTGGTGCATGAGACCTGTGGACATCCTCCAATGGCTAGCTATGAGAATGTTCTGGCAGATGTTAGAGACTTACTCCCACCACCCGTCCCGGAGCTGGCTTGACCTCTGCCCCACCTTGGCTCCACTTGGCCTCCCTGGTCCCTTGCCCCCCCTCCCCCACTGTCACGATGTGCACAGTACACCCGTGGCTCAGACACCCGGTGTCGTGTGCAGCATCGGACTTGGCTCTGAACAGTGCTCTGAAGGCAGCGGACAATATTCAGGCTCAGGTCTGACCCAAGGGCTGGGCTGCCTGCGTCAGCCCCATGATGGGGTCCCAAATTTTCCCAGGAGTTTGAAGAGACACTCCTCAGCTCCAACACAGGATGGCCGCTGTCAGGTCATTCAGAGCCAGTGGGAGAAGAAAGAGCTGGCCAGGGGCTGGGAACGTGACTCCATGATAGGGTGCTCGCCTCGCATGCATGAGGCCTGGGTTCAATTCCTCAGTACCACGTACAAGAAAAAGCTGGAAGTGACTCTGTGGCTCACGTGGTAGAGTGTTAGCCTTGAGCGGAAGAAGCTCAGGGACAGCGCTGAGGCCCTGAGTTCAAGCCCTAGGACTGGCCAAAAATAAAGAGCTGGCAAGTTGGAAGGCGGACAGCCGGGCCCCAAACTTCTATCTTGTGTAGGGGTGGGCATTCCATCAAAGGTGACCTTGGATGTGACTGTGATACCACACTATGACCGAAGTAATTCACATTGGTAACACAGATACATTAGTGCCATTTCTCCCCGTCTGTAAACTGCTGCAAGCCACTGCCACCAGGATTCTATCCCCACAAAGCCCGCCCTGGGGCAGCCACAGCCACCTGCTCAGCTCCATAAACCTGTCACCGTGAGGATGCACCGAAAATAAAATGATACAGCAGGAAATGTATTATTTAGTTTTATTAATTTATTATTATTATAGACAGGATGTACAGAGGGATTACAATGCATGAGTCAAGTAATGAGGACATTTGCTTTTGTTCCGTGTCTGCTGTTCCCTCATCCCCTTCCACCCCTCCCTCCCATCTCCACCCATGAGTTGTGTAGTTCACTTTCATCAGTGTCCAGTGAGCTCCATGGCTGCACTTTTCCACCCTTTTCCCTCTAGCTCTGTACCCTCCCCCCAACCCTACTGAAGACAGACGCTTGAATACACCATACACAAGGAAAAGAATACTGAGCCACCAAAAATGAAAAACTTTTTAAAAAAGGAAAAAATAGGTCTCTCATTTCCCTATCTTGGAGTTTATTTCAATATCTATATTATTTTATATAAATATGAAGAGACGCTTAGGCACAGCACCTTTGTGATTCTCTCCTAAGAGTATCCTCTCTTGGTTTCACTGTGTATATCTAAAATCCTGTATAGTTTATCATACCCCAGTGCATTTTAGATCTAACTTATGAATATCAAAGAGAAAATGCTCCATTGATCTTGGCTTACCTCAATTTACATGATTTGTTCTAGTTCCATCCATCTCCCTGCAAATGACATTATTCTTTTTAATGATTGTGTAAAATTCCATTGTATGTAGGCACCACATTTTGTGGGTCTACTCATCTACTGTGGGGCATCTGTGCTGTTTCCACATCTGAGCTATTGTGAATGGTGCGGCAGTGAACATGGGTGTGCAGGTGTCCTTGTCATATCCTGGCTGGTGATGCTTAGCGTAGATGCCCAGGAGTGGTATGGCTGGGTGGGAGGGAAGGTCTGTGTTTAGTATTTGGAGGAACCTGAAGACTGCTGTCCCAAGTGGCTGTACACATTCCCACTAGCAGCACAGTGGGGCTCCTTTTTTCTACATACCTGCCAGCATTTCTTGTTATTTCAATTCAAACTGTTGGTCTATCCAACTGGGGTAAGATGGAATCTGAGTTGTTTTGATCTGCATTTCCTTCATGTCCAGAGATGGTGAGCATTTCTTCGCGTTTCTGTGCCATTCTTCCCTTTTCTTCTGAGAAGTCTCTCTTTTAGCTCCCTTGCCCATTTAGTGATTATGATTAGGTTTGGGAGGGCTTCCTTTCTTGAGCTCCCTGTATATAATGGATATTAGGCCTTGTCAAATGTATTGCTGGTAAAGATCTTTTCCCAGCTGGCTGTCTTTCTAGTTTGGTAACTGTGTCTTTAGCAGTGCAGAATCTTTTTATTTTGATGTAGTCCCATTGTCAAGCCTCTCTCCTGTTTTGTTCCCCTGGGACACTATTCAAGAAGTTCTTGCCTAAACCTATAAGTTTTGGGTTTTTATCAAATTGTTTTTTTTTTTGTTTCTTGTTGGTCAGGGTGCTTGAAGTCTGGGCCTGGGTTCTGTCGCTCAGCTCCAGCTCAAGGCAAGCACTCTACCACTTGAGCCGCAGTGCCACGTCCTGCTTTTTCTGCTTATGTGGTGCTGAGGACTTGAACGCAGGGCCTCATCCATTCAAGGCAGGCACTCTACCACTGAGCCATCTTTCTAGCCCTACCTTTAAGTTTTAATGTTTCTCCTACTCTCTTGCACGAGTTTCAGAGTTTCAGTCTACCATTGAGGTCTTTGATCCACTTTAAATTATTACTAGTGCATGGTGACAAGTGAGGATCCACTTTTAGTTTTCTGCATGTGCCTGCCAGGTTTTCCCAACACCAGTTG